TTTGTGGCACAAAAGACTGGCTCACATTGGTGAAAAAGGATTACAAATTTTGGCAAAAAAGTCCCTCATCCCATTTGCCAAAGATTCAAACCTGAATCCTTGTGATTATTGTCTCTTTGGGAAGCATCATAGAGTGTCTTTCAGCAAAACCTCGAAGCTGAAAGAGAATGTGTTGGAGATGGTGTATTCTGATGTATGTGGACCCGTGGAAGTGAAGAGTCTCGGTGGTAGAAGATATTTCGTGACGTTTATTGATGATGCCTCACGAAAATTGTGGGTGTATTTCTTGAGAATGAAGGGTGAAGTGTTTCAGTATTTCAAAAGGTTTCATGCTATGGTGGAGAGACAGGCTGGTAAACCTTTGAAGTGTCTTCGCTCAGATAATGGGGGGAAGTATACTTCCCATGAATTCAAAAATTATTGTGCCGAGCATGGCATCAGGCATGAGAAGACTGTACCTGGAACCCCACAACATAATGGTGTGGCTGAAAGAATCAACAGAACCATTATGGAGAAAGTGAGGTGTATGTTAAGAATGGCTAAGCTACCTAAGCCATTCTGGGGTGAAGCTGTTCTAACGGCATGCTACCTGATCAACCGATCTCCATCTATTCCTTTGGGCTTTGATATTCCCGAGAGAGTATGGTCCGGACTTGATGTTAAATACTCTCATTTAAAGGTGTTTGGATGCAAAGCTTTTGCTCACGTAAGCAAGGAACAGAGACGAAAACTTGACAATAAAGCCATTCTTTGTATATTTCTAGGCTATGGAGATGAGGAATTTGGCTACAGGTTGTAGGATCCAGAAAATCGAACAATTATCAGAAGCAGAGATGTAGTGTTCCATGAGCAAGAAACTATGTCTGATTCTGCTTCACCAGAAACTACAGAATCAAGTGGTAAGGTGGATCTTTCACCTGTCAAACCTCCTGGAGATGCCACAGCAGAGGGAGAGTGTGATGGAGAACTCAGGATTGATGATGAGCCAGCAATAGTAGATGATGATGGTGAAGGTGTTGATCAGGAAGACCTCGAAGCTCCGCTTCAGCTCAGGAGATCAAACCGAGCGATCCAACCATCTACGAGATACCCTAGTTCCACGTATATAACCATCACTGAAGAAGGGGAGCCAGAAAGCTTTGAAGAAGTACAGACTCATAAGGA